GGCCACATAAGGTGTAGCATGAACTTCAGTTTCGGAGACCAGGACATGGTCATCCGTGTGTGTGGGTGATGATTCTGTCCACCACAGACAAGACTACTTTGTTGTGGGCTTCCTTCTCCAAAGAGCCATCGGACCCACCTGTTGCCGTCATCATTATTGTCACCATTAATTCCAGCTCTTTTATATTTTCCTGAAGTTAATTTGGGAGTTCTTTACAATAATTTTTTTAGAACAATGCTTAATTGGGTTAATCTTATGCAATTAAAAGAAGTGTTTAGGTCTATACATCATTCTCCTTGCACAGTGTTAATTGCATCTCATGGATTTTGATGCTTTCATTATTTTTCCCCACATATTTTACTATTTTGACTTCTTTCATGGAAGAATAGTTTCCAAAATGAACTTTGAACTAAGTAGCTGCTCTCTGTGGTTGCTCCTACGTTCCTTTAGTATCATTGCATGGTGGCTGCGGAGCCCGTCCCGCGTCCCTGTGGCTTTTGCGAACACACTGCGTCCCAGCGTGTGCGGCCTGTAACGAGCAGACAGATGCAGGGGCGGCAGGAAGCACCGCGCGTTCTCCGTGCACGGCATTTCAGCGTGCGTCTAAGTCACGCATGTGGGTTCTCTACACATGGAAGATCATTTCCACACCAGTTTGTAAAGAGCTTCCTTATTACTTTTTACAGCAGTACAGTGTTCCGTTGCCTGGACGTACCACTTTTATTTAAATACCCCTGTTGAGAAGTATTTGAATTGGTCCCATAGTTTGCTATTGGAATGAAGCAGGCTGTGATGATTGTGGCTGCACAGTAAAGAACACGCCATTCTCCGGGAGTCTGTTGGTGGGATGCACTAGACATAAACCCGCTGCCCGAGTTCTGCTGACTCTTAACTCTGTTGTTTTATTATCTTCTGAGTCGCATTGGCTGGGTGGTCTCAACAGTTTTTGAGACTGCAACACAGTGGAATTCTAAAATTTGCTTTGCTTTCCGCCTTCCTCACGCGCCCCAGCTCTATTTTGGGTCCTGGAGCTGTGTTCCTGTCCCTTCCACTTCTCCCGGGGCTCCTGGCACAGCGCCCCCCGCCATTCCTGCCCCAGGCACGTTGGTCCGCACTCCGCACCCTTCCCCCTCTCCATCCACCTGTCAGCATTTTCATCCCAGTGGTCGTGTTGGCTGCAAATAGCATCTTAATTGCTGTGATGTTTCCTCCTCACTGAACTGAATTTCAATGATTTTTAGTATGTTTTCCATATTTTAATGTTTCTGAAAACAGGATGCAATAATAATAATATTCAAATCTCAGCGCTTTATCTCCACCCCCCCCCCAAAAGGTGTTTTTTTAAATTAACAGCCTTCCCATCGATGGCGTCTCGGAACCGACAAGGCATTTCCTGCCACACAGCAAGGCTCTTGGCAGACTGGGTGTTGAACTTCCTGGATTCTTTGTAAGTTGCTCCAAATGTGTTGTACCTGACGGGCAGCCTCTGCGAACTTAGCATCTGGTCCCTAATGCAGTGTAGATGAACTCGGCTTTTCTTTCTTCCCACGTCCCTGGGTTTTGCAGTGTGCAATGTGTATGGGTAGACACTTTAACCATCTTTCCAGAAGCGTTTACGGTGACGCATGAAGGGGAAGTCCACTACTTGCCATGACTCTGTACGTTGTCTCGGACCCCCTAACACATCTCCTGCTGCTGAAATTGCTGGGCTGAATCCTGCTCCCTCAAGCAAGCCCCCAAAGGTACAGGCTGCTGTGCCTGAAGGGGTATCTAACAGAGGCGTCAGGTAAAGAGCCCATCTGTGCACACAGCTGTCCTGAAAACTGAAGGAAGGAAAGCACGTGAGTCTGAGGTGTGGAAGTTCCGTATCTGGAAACCCCTCTTCATCCACCCGTATAAAGCCTCCGAGGGTGCTCTGGTGTGTGTGTCTCTACAAAGGACAGACCCAGGGACACACGGCAAAGCGAACCAGGACCCCTGATGGCCTCGCATTCAGGAATCTGAGTAACAGGCCAGCGAAGAGCGGTCCCTGTGTTCTGTCTTTACAGCAGCTTTTCCCCATCTTTCTCCGGATTAAGATAAATGTAACACAGACTCAAGTTTGGTTTCCCATTAATCCAGTAATTACGTTTCCAAAACGGAAAACCTATATAGTATTTTTAAAACCTGTTTTATACATCAGGAGTACCGCAGTACTGAACATCTTTCAAGTGAAGTTAGGGTGGTCAGATTTAAGCTTATAAATATGGTTCCTCACTCATGATGAAGTAAAAGTTAGAACCCATTCTTCTAAGTTTTGTTGTTGGAAGGAAACATTAATTTCCCTACTCAGACGAAAGTCTCTCGGCACGCGTGTGCACACACACACACACACGCACATGCACGGTCACTATGAACACCTCCCAAACCATGAAAAGAAGCTGAAAAGTTGGTCAAAGACAAGCTTTTGACCAAATGGAATCCAAAACAGCACTTTCTCTCCTTGCTGAAGTTACCTTCTCTGTGCAGAAACGAGCCCCCCAAACAGGATCCCACGCTGTTTCTGATCCATAAGCATGAGACCCTCACGAAGACGGCACTGGGGCAAACTGCTATTAGCGACACCCCCTGCCCTTTCTGTGACTCAGATTTTTGTTGGTAATACTGTCCAAGGCCACAGAACTCAAATACTGGACTATCGTTGCCTTTTCAATGGTGATACTGAGCTGTCTAGGGGAAGTACTCAAAATCACTGGTTTGCAACAGGCTGGAGGTGCGGTGCTCTAAAATAAGTTTTAATTCTCAACTTCCGATTCCTCCCTCCCTCCCTCTGGAGGACACGCGTCTGCTAAACACTTTCACCAAGAAACCTCTCCCAACGTGTTTCCGGGTCCTAGAAGCCTGACCTCGTTTGCCTTCTCGAGTTTTATTCCATCACACCCGGCACCCCCACTTTCCGGACTCTGGGGCTGTGCCCACCGGGCCCTGCAGTGGGGGCTCGTGGGGTGGGGCCCCATGGCAGGAGGGGATGCTGGTTAGAGTGCAGTCCTGGCCGCGGATGCGGTTCACCCTTGGATCATCACATGTCAGAGTAGGGCTCATCTGCTAAGAGCCAGGAAACACTTCGGCCGACAAGACGCGTGGACTGCACTGCAATCAATACTTGCATCCCCATCACCCTGCTTAAGGCGGGGAACGTTCTCTCCCCCTGGGGAGTTCCTCCCCAGCACCTGGTGCTTTTCGTCTCCATTCGTGTGGTCATTCACTACACGCCCCCGTAAGCGACAGATATTGTTTTGCATGCCTTCGACTGAAATGAGTATTGCAAGTATTCTTCTGAGACGTCTTTGTTTTTGAGACTCACCCGTTTCACGTGCAGGTCTATTTTTCACTGCACTAAGTACGACACTGCGTGAGTATTCCACGGAGACCGACCGATGCTTACTGCGGAGACTTAGCTTGTCTCCAGTTCTGCCTCCCTTGTGAGCAACGGTGCGACAATGTCCTTCCTCACTCCCTCATTGAGCACGACTGAGAGCCACACCGAGGTGATTCGGAGCTGCTGAGTTACAGGGTCTCTGCAATACACCTTACTTCCCGAAGCCGCAGCACTGTCAATGTTCCCACAGCAGAGTGGGGACTCCGCTGGTCCAGCTCCTTGGGGACCCGGAGGCAGGGTCTCAGCTGTTGAAATCTTTCGTAACACAGCTGAGGATACAGACCTCCAATGAGCACAGCTGCAAGTCACCCCACGGATGTTTCTGGCTCGGATCCATGCTTTCCTGTGCACAGAGCAAGTCGAGAGAGGCTGGGTGAGGCCCCCCCCATGCCGGAGGGAGGACTTCTTTCCGAGTCGACTGCTACACTGAAGGTCTTTGAAGGTGGGCATGAGGCGTGAGGCTGTTGGGTCTCCCTGTGTCGTGTGGCTGAAGGGTCTGAGTGGCCTTGCTGAGACTGTCGCTCTCCCGCCCCGCCCCCGACCCAAGAGTCTCCACACCAGGTCCAGCCTACTGCTGTGGCTTTTATTTTATCGGCAACAGGGCTTCTCTAATTTCCGTGTTTAGGCCTTTGGGAAAGTTTTCTTATTTTCTTGCACCCTCAGCACTTACAAGAAGGAAGTTATGCTACTCTAATAAGCGGAAGAGGGGAACACGAAAGTAACTTGGAGGCTCTATTTCGGCCTGCGAGCCTTGTTTTCCAGGTCAGCAGGGCCCTCTGGAGCCTCCGAGCGACGGAAACGGTCCACGCTCCCCCGTCCAGCACGGCCTGCGCCTGCCCTGTGTGGCTATCGAGAGCTTGAAATGTGGCTGACATGCGTATGAACTAACTGTTTAAAAAAGACCTTATTTATTTACTGTTAGAGTGAAGGGCAGGGAGGGGGACAGAGAGGGAGAGACGCATCGTCAGTTGCCTCACATGCCCCCGGTCGTTAGGAACCTGGCCCACAACCCAGGCACGTGCCCCGACCGGGAACCGAACCGTGACCTTTCACTTTGCAGGACGACACCCAACCCACTGAGCCACACCGGTTAGGGTGGAACTGAATTTTTGATATTACGTAATTTTAATTAAAATTTAAACTTGAATAGTCAGTCACATGTGACTATCGTCGAATATATTTGACAGCACAGTTTCAAACAGTGGTAATACTCTTGGTCCCTCGGGCGGCCTTAGGTCCTAGCAAACCGCTGGCGTCGGGGAGAAAGGCCTTGCGAGTCCGTCTCTGGTCGCTGCAGGTGCAGCTGGTCAGACGCGACGGCAGACCACCTGCCACCACAGAGCCACACGGCCCCCTGGTGGGGTCTCCCAGCGGTTCTCGCCTGACTCGTCTTTCTGGGAATCTCAGTGATCTATGGAGACCGGGTTTGAGTGCACAGTCTTCCCGCTGCCAGGAAGCCAGCGAATCAACGTCTGACAACTTCTCAAGGGTATTTATGGAGCATCAAAGTGTCGACAGATTCCAAAGATAAAATAACCAGAAGTATAAATACACGTATTTTGAACACAACATGAGATATAAGATTGAGTACAATTTGGTTTGCTTTTTAACTGAAAACTTTATTGGTGACTTGAAAATGTCTACAAGTTAAAACATGAATACTTCATATGGTTTAAACTTACAGCATTTAAATTTCCAAAGCACATTACATTGTAAGGAATGACTCCATTCTTTTTCCTTTTCACCATAAGGAAAGGTTAACATGGCTACAGCAGAAACGCAGGTGTGAACCGTAATGAGAACCAACATGTGTTTGGGAACCAGGCCACAGGAGCTGGGCCGGTGCACCCGGCCGTCCCACTGGCCTTCGAAAATAAAGATGTGCAAATGCCTCCCACCACACGCTCCTCCACATGCCTCATCTGTGTTCTGGTGTGAACCGATGCCCACGGGCGGGCGTTCAGGGGTGCACTGAACCACACTCTGGGGCAAGAAAGCCTTTCATGGGATGAAGGAACCAGGTCCAAAGTGAAAGAGCTGGAAGTCTGCATTTCAAATGAGCTCACATTTCCAGATGAAACGGATTAATCTCCCATCCAGAGATTTTCATGGACATTTTCATTGTACCCACAGAATTTAAAAATATCTACAAGAGCTACAGGCCCTTCATTAACACACTTGACATTTTGCTTCTTAAAGATATAACATTCTCCACAAAAAACTTCAAAACAAAACCGGTTTTCTCTAGGAAGCATTTCCGGACTCATGACTATGCATGACTTTAAAGCGCGTGAAGCCCGCTCTTCTCCTGATAGTCTTCGTAGAAGCGTCTCAGGGACTCAGGGATTCGGGGCGTCACGGTGCTCAGGGCCTGAGTGAAATGTCTTCTCCTGATGCACTTGGCTTTCATGTCTTCTTCCAGCGCCAGCAGGGCGGCCTCTCTGCAGACGGCGACGACCTGGTGGGGAGAGAAGGCCATCAACGCTGGGTTTGGGAATGTTGTGTTTCAAACACTCACCCGGGCAACTCCTCCAAGTCCAAGTGCATTGCTGCACCCACCTTCACGGGCCTTTCTCTTCACTCCGAGAGGACACACTGAGCACTCTGAACCAGGAGCAACGCGACCCACCAGCCAGGGCCGCAGGGCTGTGTGTGCGCGTGTGCACGGGGTGGCTGGCTCATCGGCACACCTGGTCACAGCACAGAGTCGCCACATTCCTTTCAGCCTTTAATGTCTTACCGACCCGTGTAGGTGTTTCTTTATGTGCGTACATCTCTTTAATGAGTTCCTAAACCTCGGGAGTATGAGACCGAGCTGCCTCCGTCTCCTTTGGAGAGCTGCGTGGGAGCGGAGCAGCGACTTCTGTCTGCTCAGCCAGAGGAGCTGAAAGGATGCAGAGAATGGGGGTGGGGGGAACGGGGGGGAGGCAGGGTGTTCTGCAGCCCCCTGGGCTCCAGACAGTGGAAGCAGGCCAGCGGCAGCATCGGTCTGGAGACACGGGACTGGGCTGAAGGGCGCTGGCGGGACAAAAGGGGCGAGTGTGAGCCACGGACAGCGGGGAAAAGTGCCCGATCCGGCTGCGCCTGTCCGCCGGGCAATGGACGGGCCCCGCACGCCTGTCTGGCCACTCAGCACTGGCTCTCTGTTTGCTCACTTACTGGAAGGGTCCTCTGCTTCTGCGGTGGCCCGCAGCTGCCAGGCCACTCGGTGGCCTTTGGGGGACTTGGGAGCACACTCAGGGGGCTCTCAGAAGCCACACACAGATCGAGGGGCCCGGTCGGACCACCACAGCGTGACTGCTAGTTCTGGGCCCCCTAATGAGCGCCGGGTGAACAGAGGCAGGTGAACCGGCGGATCCGAACCGCAGGCCCCGCTCACAGAGAAAGCTCCGGGCACCTGGGCGCGTGACTTCTCTGGCAAACAGGGCTCTGGAAGCTGTGCCCAGGCTCTTCACCGCTGCGTCCTCGTCCCCACAGGCCACCGACCGGGCCCTTTGAGGAGCCATCGGCCGCCTGCCAGTTACAGCGCTTTGGCTGAGGGGCTTTGGCTAGCTCTATAAAGCTACATTTTGTTTGCGTTGTTTTTCAGTTTTGACCAAAACGGTGATACCTAAACTTTAAAAAATGTAAGTGCCTGGCTGCAAAGGTGAGAACACGACCTGTTCAGGGAAGTGACGACGGAGACAAAAGGTAGACAGTGGGACGAGCTGGACTCAGATGCTGCTGTGGCCGCAATGGCCACTCATTTGGTGCCAGTGTGACAGTAACTCTCTCTCCATTTGTCGAGCAGTGACAACAGACTATCAGATACCCGAAAAGTCCCATAAATGATCAGAAACCCTTTCTATAGGAGACTTAGGCCTCTTTGAGACGTGCGTTTAGACATATTGAGGTGACTTCCTGGAGGCAGAAAAGGACTTTTCATGAAGATGCTTTAGAAACCCTGAAAGCAAAGCCACTGAAGGGAAGAGTGACTGTGTTCAAAAGCAGGAGCAAAGCGCCCGACAGCGGCCTGGAGGCCCAGGGTGCCGTCTCGTGCTGGGAAGGCGGCTGAGCACCAGCGCGGGCAGCGGCTGGACTGGGGGCAGCTTCCCAGGAGGAGACGGCTCTTGACCACTGAACCTTGGGAAATCTAATTACCTCCCTTTTAAGTGCAAAAGGGCAAAAGAGGCAACTGTGCTGACTTCTGAATGCCGAGAAGAACAGGAACAATGTCTTACTTCACTGTGGAAAAAAACCGAGCCCTTCATCCCAACCTTGGGCTCCTCCCCGGCCCAGAGACCAGGGCGCTGGACCGGGTGGGCCAGCTGAGCAACCCAGACGCAGGCGCTCTGCGAACCTGAAAACCGATGGGCACTCCAGGCAGCACCGTTTCAAAAAAACAACGTTGTAATAAGAACAGAGTCCAGGCAAAGGCTGTTCACCGAAAACGAGTCCACAGGCAGAGTTCCGGGTGTCAGTCCGTGCCCAGTAACCTGCCCGCCCACTTCTCGGTGCAGGTCACTGCCTTCTTTTTAAAAGGGCACCAAAGTCCCTGTGAGCAGTCACCTGCACTTCCAGACGAGGCCCGGGCCGTGCCTCACGCCTCCGCTCTGGACTGAGCAGGACGGCACCACAGCAGCGCAGCCCCGGGGAGTGGCGTGGCGAGGCCCCTGCCTGCACCCGGGCTGGGGGCCGCCGACTCCCACGGGGACACTGCAGTCCTGCACGCCTGCCACCGCTGAGCTCCCCAATCGCTCCGAGATGAACTGTACCCTCCCAGAAGCCCCAAGGAGCCTCGGGGCTCCCCTGCCCGCCCTGCAGGCACCGGAGCCTTCTGCAGAGGTGTGGACAGCCGGAGGCTCGCTGCTCTCACCGGGGCTCCAGGGCGGCCGAGCGGTCCCAGGAAACAAGTGCAGCCCAGGGCTGGGGAGTGGAGACCCGGGACGGCCCCCAAGTGCAGGCCGGGGACAGCCGGGTGCAGGGCCTGGAGTGGAGGAGAGCACCGCCAGCCGGTCTGCACGGGGGTGCAGGGTCCACGCAGAGGCAGACTGCCCTCTGCACCCACCCTGCCGTCTGGCGGGAAGAACGCACCTCGAGTGAGGCCTAGACGTGCTTCTCAGCCCCTTTGTATTTCAAGTGTGCGAAGAAGCTGGAAAGAATCCGCCAAAAGAAATGGGCTGCAGTGTTCAAAAAAGTCTCAGGACCTATTTTCAAGATGGTGCTTTTGTTCAAGGCATCCTCTATCTGGACCGCCTGTGCCCTGTGGGACCTGACTGGGACACAGCCAGTGGGGCGGAGATGCCGCGTGACCACCTGTCCTTTCACTCCCCCAGCCTCCCTGGGTGGGGGGGGGGTAGGAGCCTGGGCCCAGCACGTCCACTGCTCCCAGGAGGCTGCCTGGGAGACGAGGTGCTCAGAGGGGCTGAAGGGGGAGGCGGGGGGCGTGGGAGGCACAGAAGCGTGGCACGGGGAGGCTACTTACTAGTTATCATGTTACAAACTGAGCACCAACCGAGGCCCACCCTGTGTGTTGTGAAATAATCGCAACACAACACCCACCACTACTCGGAGTTAGGGTTTTTTTCTTGTGATGAGAACTTTTTATATCTATTCTCTTAGCACCTTTCAGACAAGCAACAGACGATGACTTCACTGCACCCCATGCCGTCTTCACACCTGGGACTCGTTCCAGTGGGAACACACGACTTGGCCGTCTGCGGGCAGCTGAGGGGCAGCTACCAGCACGAGGCAGAGTGGGAGGGCAGGACAGTGACGAGCCCTAACTGCTCCCGCGGGTGCCATCTCGGGGACAGCAGCTCCATCCTGAGAGAGAGAAAGGTCTTCTCTCCCGGGCACATGAACACACAAAACTGGATTTGGATCGAGACCCAGCGCCATCAGGTAAGACACCCTAAAGCATCCAGGCCGCACTGCCATTTCTTCTTCGTTTTCCACGTTCAACGAGGGGCTTCTGTTCCGATGGTGCTCCTGGTACCTATGAGCCACTGGCTTAGAAACTCACGTTATATTATTTTGTTTTAAATCCGAATAGAGAAACACTGTCTTATTTGTTACATGAACTGTGCTATTTCAAGTAGCACTTCATCAGTTTTGTGTGTTATTGGTCATATAACAGAGATTCTCAACCCAGGGTCTGTGGCCATCTAGGTGGACCTAAAAATATACCGAAACCTACGAAAATGTTTGTATGTGTACGTGTTTTTCTAGAGAGGGTTCGAGGCTTTCAGTATATTCTAAACAGGAACCCAAACCCCCAAAGGGCTAAGAACCACGGCATTACAGTAATTACAACTCAGATTTAAGTCCTGTGGATGCTGTACAATCACATCTGTTCTGCCCTTTCCGGGTGACTCAGGCCGCAGTGCACCTGGGCCAGGACTCGCCCCGGGCGGGTGCACAGCAGGGCGGATCGCGGCCAAGGCAGGTAGGGTTTGCTTTCTTAGACCTTCCTCCTGTAACCTGGGAAAACGGAACGGCTGCCCCCGCCTAGACTACGGCCCCCGAGGTCTTTACTGCTATGAAGAGGGACCTAGAGACCTGCATCCTGTTCCATTACGGGGAGGGGGGGGGGCCCGTCCATGTAAACGACCGAGGGCACAGAGACCCTGAGACTGCGAAGTTCAGCAGGCCTGTTCGAGTGCAGAAGCCATGCTCCTACAACGCAGTTAGGAACTCGATTCGTCAGTTAACCCACCAGTGAGTTTTTAACTCTGAGTGTGTGTCGGCTCGTCAGCTCTGATGTCGGAAATAACATCACACACTGCGCACTCAGAAACTGGGGGGTTTTCTTCCTCATCTGCAAAATCACACGGCCTGGTATCTTCCAAGGAGTGAGACACACTCAGAGCTTTATCTCCTGCATGTCCGTTGAAAAGGAAAAAAACAGAGAAATCTCTTAATTTTACTACTTTGCAAGTCAATAGTGAGGTATAGTTCTTGCCGCAACAATAAAAAAAGGTGATTCAATGTAAAGGAAATCACAAACACTCGTGAGAGCCAAGCACGGCCGGGCCAGTCGTTCTCATCAGTTACTCCCACGCCAGGTCAAGTGGAGAAGGAAGACGACCTCGCTCACGGGGGCTGCAGCCAAGACACGCGTGTTCTTCTCTTCTGACCAGCACGTCCGCCCTCACCGAGGACTGCGGAGCGGAAACGCTTCCCTCACCGTCGCCCGAAGCCCTCTGTGAGACCGCAGCGACCAAGCAAGGTGGCATCGAGCTCGGCGATGAGAAGAGCCAGAGAGCCGCCCAAGGACGGATCCAGAATGTCTGTGAAGACTGCACCAGAAACGATGAGAACAGCCCGGGAGCAACCCCAGACCCGGAAAGGGCTGTGGGACGAGGGGGCGGGTGAGGCGCCTGTTGGGAGTGAAGACGCTGCGCTTTCACAAGCTTCGATCTTAAAGGTGTGTGATTGGTCTGGCACCAGAAACGCAGCGGTTGGTGTATTTAAAGA